TCTCCTGTGTACAGCCCTCTTCAGATCACCCCACAGATTTTCGATTGGATTCAGGTCTGGGCTCTGGCTGGGCCATTCCAAAACTTTCATCTTCTGGTGAAGCCATTCCTTTGTTAATTTGGATGTATGCTCTGGGGCATTGTCATGCTGAAAGATGAAATTCCTCTTCATGTTCAGCTTCCTAGCTAAACATTTCCTTTGTAATTATGGCCAAAAAGTTCAACCTCGGTTTCAATAGACCATAACACATTTTCCCACATGCTTTTGGAAGACTTCAGATGTGTTTCTGCAAAATTTAGCTGGGCTTGGATGTTTTTCTTTATAAGAAAAGGCTTCTGTCTTGCCACTCTACCACATAATCAGTGCTTGCCAGATATTCCTGCAGCTCCTGTAACCACTTGCCTACTGGGAACATACTGTATACCCCCTTCCTGCCCAGGCCAATTTTCAGCTTTCAGTGCTGTCGCACTTTGAAAGACAATTGCGCGGTCATGCAACACTGTACCCATATGAAATTTTTATCTTTTTTTCACACAAATAGAGATTTCTTTTGGTGGTATTTAATCGCCGCTGGGTGTTTTTTTTTTTTGCTATAAACAAAAAAAGAGCAAAATATTTGGAAAAAAAAAAGGTTTTCTTTGTTGCTGTTATAAAATGTTGCAAACTAGTCATTTTTCTAGTTCACTGATGTGCGTTGATGAGGCTGCACTGATAGGCAGCACTGATGGGCACTGATAGGCAGCACTGATGGACGCTGATGAGGTAGCACGGATAGGCAGCACTGATAGGCAGCACTGATGAGCTGGCACCGATGCGGTGGCACTGATGATGCGGCACTGATGGGCAGCACTGATGGGTACTGATGGGTGGCACTGACTGATGGCACTGACTGGCGGCACTGATTGGTGGCACTGCTGGGCAGCACTGATGGGTGGTAATGATGGTGGGAACTGCGGAGTACATTGGACACAGCTGATGGCACTGATGTCATTGGCCACAGCTGATCACGTGGTAAAAGGCCACTGTGATTGGCCTTTTATCACATCATGTGATCAGCTGTGTCTGTAGGACACAGCGATCACAGAGATCACCGGGTTCGCGGCCCCGGGGGTGTGTGTGTTGGAGGGCGCGTTCTGGGCGAACGTCATATGACGCCCAACCAGAACTGGACAACCACGCTGTAGCCGTCATTCGGCTATAGCACAGTTGGCAAGTGGTTAATGTTGTTGCAGGCCTCTTCTCAGCCTCCCAGACCAGTTTTCTTCTTGTCTTTTCATCAATTTTGGAGGGACGTCCACTTCTTGGTAATGTCACTGTTGCGGCATATTTTCTCCACTTGATGATGACTGTCTTCAATGTGTTCCATGGTATGTCTAATGCCTTGGAAATTTTTTTTCTGTTTCTGTTATAAAATTTTGCAAACAGCACTGAGTATTCTCCTTCACTGATGAGCACTGATAGGTGGCACTGAAAGGCACTGATGGATACTGACTGGCAGCACTGATAGACACTGATTGACAATAATGATGGACACTCTTTGGGCTGCACTGATAATCAATGCCCTGATTATCAGTGTAAATGTCCCCTTTCACAGTTGCCAGTTACCGGCTCTCCTGTAACAGTGTGAAAAAGTGCTGGTGATAACCGTGGTAAAGAGCCGCTGTGATTTGCCGCGGGCGCATGGGGGGTGGTGCGCAGATCTGGGAGGACGTCATATGACGTCCTCCCAGAACTGGACGACCACGCTGTAGCTGTCATTTGGCTATAGCACGGTGGCAGACCTAAGAATATATCAGGTCCAATCCAATATGATCAGGTTGGAAGAGAGGACTGATTGTAAGAGCTCATAGTTGATAGGTTCTTTTTAGGGACCCAGAATTCCGGAGGTTTGAAGCAATCTGGGAGGGAAGGACTTCCAAATCCTGACCAAACCCTGACTGCAGGGACTCTAGTTCTGAAGGGTTTAAGCCACAGCAAAGGGAATGTTGAAAGGCAGCAGGAAGGGGTCAGCACCTGTGTTACTGAGGCAGTGTGGATTAGCTCACAAACTGTTACCCTAGGTTCACACCTAAGCGTTTTCTGCATCGTTTTGTGTTTTTGCTGAAACGCAGTACAGTCCATTTAACATGATTTCCTATGGGACATGTTCACATATGCGTGTTTTCACCTGGTGTGTTTTTTGGAAAGGGTCAGGGACTTTTTTGATCGCAAAAAGTTGCGTTTTTGGTTCAACAGACTTCAATGGAAACGCTGCAGAAACGCATGTATTGTGTTTTTGCTGTATTTTTGCAGTGTTTTTGATGCGTTTTGCATATAAAATCTGCCTAGCAACAAGAAAAAATTTTAAAAAATTAAAAAAACCCTGCAAAAACGCAGCAAAAATGCTGGTGCAAAAATGCAAAATGCAATGCAGAAATGGCTCAGACGTAATCTGCATAGGTGTGAACCTAGCCTAAGCAAGGGTGGACACTATTAGGAACTGAGACACGTGTTGCTGAACTCCCTTGCAGCCTGAAACACGGCGAACCCTAACCCACTGTGAGAGACCGAGAGTTTGTCTTTGAGCCTGCCATATGATTTGGTTTGATGCCTGCATTATGAACTGTTTGTTTTTCCTTTTTGGATAAAGAAAGTTCTTTGTGTTTACTGATTTTGAAGACACCAAAAAAGAGACTGTTTTTTTACCAAACCCAGCTGGAATATGTTCCCGGGCTACCTCATATCACAATACATACAGTATATATGTATATATATTACAAAGGACCTGCGGACTATTTTTTTACATGTTTTATTTTTTATGCCTTCTTAATTTTTTCTTCATTGAGTAGATGAGAGAATGCCTGTGATCTTGTGAGATCATTTCCTCTGCACAATTTGGCTGATCACTGTGTGCAATATTCTCGTCTCTTCTCCACTGAAGAAGAGAAGTGTCAATCTTAAAAAACATGCTCTGTGATGTGTTAAGACACAGTAGATCGCACCTTAATAAGTGCACACCAACGTTTTCTGGCATCTCCCCCTATTGTCCAGCTGTTTTTTGGCATCTCTGCAATCTTTACCCAGTTACAGTATACTACATTCTCTGGCACCATTCCCCCACCATCTGCATTTCATTCTTTAGCAACTCTTCTCTGTCAGTAGCAGCTTTTCTTGCTGCCCACTCCATATCCCCCATCATCAGTGATTGAAATGTTTCAAAGCAGCAAGATGGCTGTAAAATCCCCATGTGCGATGATGTCACATGCCGTAGCTCAACCCAATGTGTTTTGTCATCATAAGATGTCATTAGGGGCCATGATGATGTCTTATGACAATAAAATGTGTTGGGTGGAGCAACAGTGTATGACGTCATCGTGCACAAGGATCGCGACCATCTTGAATGCTGCGGCCAGACTCATCCACCTCACAAACCGCTCCGTATCCACCACCCCCCTCTGCCAATCCCTCCACTGTCTTCCAATTGCCCAACGGATAAAATTCAAAATGCTAACTTTGATGTACAAAGCTGTTCATATTACTGCCCCAAACTACATCACTGATCTGGTATCCAAATACCACCCAAAACGTACTCTCCGCTCCTCACAAGACCTCCTACTCTCTAGTTCCTGGTCTCCTCCTCCCATGCCCACCTCCAGGACTTCTCCACGGCTTCTCCCATCCTCTCGAACTCCCTACCCCAATCCATCAGACTAGCACCTACTCTCCTCACCTTTAGGTGCACCCTGAAAACCCATCTCTTCAGGGAAGCCTACTCCACCCTCAGCTAATTACTGAACTCCACTCTTCCTACCACTTCATCCTCCACAGTTGTTTCCTCCTGTACCACTATCCCCTCCCTCCTAGATTGCAAGCTCCAAGGAGCAGGGCCCTCGAACCCCTCGTGTATTGAATCGTATTGTTACTGTACTGTCTCGTGTCTTGTCTCCCATTATAATGTAAAGCGCTGAGCAAACTATTGGCGCTATATAAATCCTGTCTAATAATAATCTTGTAGGTTTATCATCACTGATAATATGTCTGTTATGCTGTGAATGGAATGTGAATGCTGTGAGTGTATGGAGTTTGTAATACATGTTTAGGCATTTTTATTACTATACCATGAGGCAGCTTTGGTTCCTTTTGATTTTATTGTGTGGTGGCTTGAAATTTAATATGGAGCGATCCTCAGTGAGTGAAGAATATCTGCAATCCACGGTCATCATAGGATTTGAATGGAGCCTGGTGATGCCTATTGGTCATTCAGGGCTGTTTGACCACTCATATCCTATGTGGTCAATAGCTTGGGGTAAGAGGCTCTATGTGCTATGGTGAAGGTGGAGGAACTTTTTCCTTTCTTGGCACTATCTAGTGACATTTTTCACATACCTGAGGTGCCTTCTAATGCATGGCTTTACTGAATACTTTAGATCCACTTCCAAACCAGCGACGTACCCATACGTTGCTGAACTTTTGGTGGTTGTACCGTAGTGAGGGCAGCAGCTTATAGACCCCAGATCCCTCCATGAAAATACTTGTCACGTATTTATTGCTCTCACATGGGATGTTTACATGCCTTGTGACAGCAATAAAAGTGATCTAAAAAATTTTAAAGTGACAGTGTAAATAATAAAATTAATAATTAAAGAAAAAAAAGATGAGCACAGACACCCCCCCCCCCCCCCTTATGCAAATGCATTGGTCCCGCACAAACACAAAACAGTGATCATCCCATTACATGTGAGGTATCACTGCAAATCGTCAGATCATAGGCAGTAATTTTAGCACTAGACCTCCTCTGTAAAATCTAAAGAGCTAACCTGTAATGGCTTTTAAATTTTTGCTTATGAATAGTAAAATTTACATTGTTTTCACCGTTGCATAGGTGTGCACAATTTGAAACCATGAATTGGGTTATGTATTGTGTTTTTTGCAATAAAATTGAAAAAAGTACAGTAAAGGGCCTCTGTTTTACAAATATGTAATATATACCGTATTTTTCGCTCCATAAGATGCACCTGACCATAAGACGCACCTAGGTTTTAGAGGAGAAAAACAAGAAAAAAAAATATTCTGAACCAATCTACTGCAGACACAGTACAGAAGATGACCAGAGACTGCGGACACAGTACAGGAGATGATCAGAGACTGCGGACACAGTACAGGGGATGACCAGAGACTGCGGACACAGTACAGGGATGACCAGAGACTGCGGACACAGTACAGGGGATGACCAGAGACTGCGGACACAGTACAGGGGATGACCAGAGACTGCGGACACAGTACAGGAGATGACCAGAGACTGCGGACAGTACAGGGGATGACCAGAGACTGCAGACAGTAAAGGAGATTACCAGAGACTGCGGACCTTTTCGGGAGGGAGGGGGAACGGGTACCTGAATTTGACAGGTACTCGTTCCCACTTCCGCGGAGTTGTCCTTCCTTCTTCTTCCTGCACTGGCTTCTGTGACAGCCGGGTCCCCATTGCGCATGCGCGAGAAGCGCTGCGCTTTGTGAATGGCCCGGAGCCTTCTGGGACCTGTCATGTGTCCCAGAAGACACAGGACCATTCACAAAGTGCAGCGCTTCTCGCGCATGCGCAGTGGGCACCAGGCTGTCACAGAAGCCACCGCAGAAAGACTGCAGCGCTGGAGCGAGGAGCAGGTAAGGTCCTGCAGGAGAGAAGAGCTGAGCGGCCAGCCTGATATTCTGACATGGTGGCGGCAGAAATACCGGAAAAAAGTGCGTCTTATGGAGCGAAAATACGGTAATGTTTGGGGGTTTTAAGACATTTTCTAGCAAAAAATACTGATTTTAAAATATAAACAAAAAGTGCCAGAAATGGCTTTGGGCTGAAGTGGATATGGAACACTGTGAAAGACTCATATATATTTCATGTTTAGAAAAAAGCACTGCATTTTTTATTTTATTACAGTAATACATACCATTGTGATGAAGCACTCAAAAGGTAAAAACCATTCAGTCTAATTTAACATATTCATAAATGAACAAAGATTTGCTAGTTATCAAACACTCAGTGACCTTACAAAGTATCTTGAACAATCTCCCAAATGGCAGCTGAAAGTGCAACAAAAATCTGACAGTGATTTTACTACACTAAGAAGATTATGTAGATGAAAATTTGTGATGCATACAGTGCTGTGAAAAGTATTTGCCCCCTTCCTGTTTTTTTTTTTTTTTTTTGCATATTTGCCACACTTAAATGATTCAGATCATCAAACAAATGTTATTATCACACAAAGATAACCCGAGTATATACAAAAATACGTTTTTAAATGATGATTTCATTTATTAAGGGAAAATAGTTGTCCAAACCTGCCTGGCCCTATGTGAAAAAGTAGTCTAGTATAGAAGAAGTGTGATTAACTATTTTTTTTGGAAAACAGAGTTAAATTTCACTTGCCACACCTAGATCTGATTACTGCTAGACCTTGTTGAATGAAGAAAGCACCTAAATAGAAGCTTTCTGACAAAGGGAAGCATGCTAAAAGATCTAAAAAAGAAACACATCATGCTGCAATCTAAAAAAAAATTGAGAACAGATGAGACACAATTGATATGCATCAGTCTAGAATGGGTTACAAAGCCATTTCTAAGGCTTTGTGACTCCAGCAACCCACAGTTACAGCCATTATCCACAAATAGAGAAAACCTGGAAGAGTTGTGGACCTTTTCAGGAGTGGCCGGCCTACCAAAATTACTTCAAGAGCACAAGGATGACTCACCAAGGAGGTTATAAAAAAGCCCAGAACAACTAAAGAAAGTTTAGTCCCTTGCCTTAGTTAAGGTCAGTGCTCATAATTCAACAATAAGAAAGAGACTGGGCAAAAATGGCATCCATGGAAGAGTTCCAAGGCAAAAGCCACTCCTGACCAAAAGGAACATAAAGGCTTGTCTCACATTTGCCAAAAAACTTTTCAGCAAATATTCTGTGAACCAATGAGACAAAAGTTGAACTTTTTGAAAGGTGTGCATCCCATTACACCCCGCATAAAACTAACCAGCATTTCATAAAAAGAACATCATACCAACAGTTAAACATGGTGGTGGTAGTGTAATGGTCTGGGGCTGCTTTACAGCAGGACGACTTGCCATAATTGATAGAACCATGAATTCTGTGCTCTAACAAAAAATCCCAAAGGAGAATATCCAGCCATCAGTTCATCACCTCAAGTTCAAGCGCACTTGGGTTATGCAGCAGGGCAATAATTCCAAAACACACCAGCAAATTCACCCCTGAACGGCTCAAAAAAAAAAAAGCAAAATGAAGCTTGTGGAGTGGCCCAGTCAAAGTTTGGTCTTAAATCTGATTAGGATGCTGTGGCATGACCTTAAATAGGCCGTTCATGCTCAAAAACCCTCCAATGTGGCTGAATAAAACAATTCTGCAAAGAAACATGAGCCAACATTCCTCCACAAAGTTGTGAGACTCATTGCCAGTTATTACAAACACATGTGTAGCACCCTCCCAGGTAGGTTGCTAGGGTTTATATAGTCCAGGTTAGCATAGTGTGGTCTCCTGCTTAACAGGAGACTGATAAGCAGAAAGCTGCTATGTTTTACCTAACAGAAAGCTAACATTGCTTAGTGAGAAGATCATGTGTGGCTCACAGTGCTGCTGCTGCTGCTATGACTGGCTCCTCTGTATCCAGGAGATCTTGGAAGGTTCTGGGTGAACAGGAGTGACCCATTCAGATTAGCAGCATGAATATGGATCCTGTGCCAGCCAATTACAGGGAGTGCTGTCCCTGAGAATGCTGGGTACTAGTATTTATATTCAGTGAGCACATGTGATCTGGGTTCTTCTTCCTCTTCCTGTGAGAAGGGAATTCCAACCAGGGGAGGAGGCCTTGGGTGAGTGACCCAAAGCCATAATGCTGAAACCCAGGGTATCACAGATGAAGGTGACCTACAGCAAGGGCCTTGTGAGTACAGACTGTTCTACATGAATGTTTGGACTTGTGCTGTTTAACCCCCTCGAGATCTATATAGTCCACTGCAAGGGTGTAAGCTAGAGGGGACACCGGCTGGTGTCCAGAAGAGCAATTGTTCACCAAGTCTGCATATTTACAGAGGGACTTTGCTCCATTCTTGTACAGTCTGCTGCACAGTTCCATTTTGAGAAAGCTGTCCTTAATTGTGCATATTTTGATTCCAAGTATCCTACCATATCCCTTCCCTATCCCAGTTCCAAAAACAAATAAAACAATAAAAAAACTACAACCTTAGACTGATAATTGCAGTAACGAGCAGAAGTGTGCACCTGATTAAGGAAATGCAGTGTGCTTGGCTGCAGGAGGAAATCTAGGGGAAAGCCTGGGCAAGACACAAGCGGCTCCTGTGGGGGTAGTGCTACACTTGATTGCAATTGTTACCGCCAAGGGTGGCACAACCAGTTATTAGGTTTAAGGGGCAATTACTTTTTCACATAGGGCTAGGTAGGTTTGGATAGCTTTTTCCCTTAATAAATGAAATCATCATTTAAAAATTGCATTTTGCATTTAATTGGGTTATCTTTTGTGTAATATTATAATTTGTTTGAATCATATAAGTGTGTGATCTGACTCATTTAAAAAAAAAAAAAAGATCAGGAAGGGGGCAAATACTTTTTCACATCACTTCATGTCCAACTTAGTAAAAACCCTAATGGGCAGTCATATTGGGCATCATATATGACAGATCTGCTCCCTGCTTTCCAGTGCTATACAACAGTTGTGCTTTTTCTCATAAGGCCAATTAATTCAAAATGGTGCTCTCCATACATGACTAGTATCTGAACAGTTGTTGCTCTGAGCCACTAGGAACTCCTTCCGGTCATTAAAGTGGAACTACACTGCATCTGAACACCAAAAACGCAAAGTAAACTCACCCGTTCATCCATGTCTCCATGCTTTATTTTGCTAAAAAAATCACTTTGAAAAACACCCTCTAGGATTTCTAGCTACAGCCATCTTGAGTACGGGCAGATAAGTAGCATTTACTTCCTGGAATTCATCTGCCCTTAGCTCAGGTATGCAGGCAGGAGGTGTGTTTAGCTAAGAAAACCCCTTCTTCCCTTCTGAAGAGCCTTGAAATGTATAACACTAGTTGCTTAGGCCTGAAAACCAAGAAGTAACTGAAGAAATCTAAAAAAAAGTTTTAAAACAAGTAAATACGATATACAGGTGAAACTCAAAAAATTAGAATATCGTGCAAAAGTTCATTTATTTCAGTAATGCAATTTAAAAGGTGAAACTAATATATGAGATAGACTCATTACATGCAAAGCAAGATAGTTCAAGCCGTGATTTGTCATAATTGTGATGATTATGGCTTACAGCTCATGAAAACCCCAAATCCACAATCTCAGAAAATTGGAATATTATGAAAAGGTGCAATATTCTAGGCTCAAAGTGTCCCACCCTAATCAGCTAATTAAGCCATAACACCTGCAAAGGGTTCCTGAGCCTTTAAATGGTCTCTCAGTCTGGTTCAGTAGGAATCACAATCATGGGAAAGGACTGCTGACCTGACAGTTGTGCAGAAAACCATCATTGACACCCTCCATAAGGAGGGAATCCTCAAAAGGTAATTGCAAAAGAAGTTGGATGTTCCCAAAGTGCTGTATCAAAGAACATTAATAGAAAGTTATGTGGAAGGGAAAAGTGTGGAAGAAAAGGTGCACAAGCAGCAGGGATGACCGCAGCCTGGAGAGGATTGTTAGAAAAAGGCCATTCAAAAGTGTTGGGGACTTTCACAAGGAGTGGACTGAGGCTGGAGTCAGTACATCAAGAGCCACCACACACAGACGGATCCTGGACATGGGCTTCAAATGTCGTATTCCTTTGTCAAGCTGCTCCTGAACAACAAACAGTGTCAGAAGTGTCTTACCTGGGCTAAAGAAAAACAGACCTGGTCTGTTGCTCAGTGGTCCAAAGTCCTCTTTTCTGATGAGAGCAACTTTTGCATCTCATTTGGAAATCAAGGACCCAGAGTATGGAGGAAGAATGGAGAGGCACACACTGCAAGATGCTTGAAGTCCAGTGTGACGTTTCCACAGTCTGTGTTGATTTGGGGAGCCATGTCATCTGCTGGTGTTGGTCCACTGTTCTTCATTAAGTCCAGGGTCAACGCAATCATCTACCAGGAGATTTTGGAGCACTTCATGCTTCCTCTCCGCAGACGAGCTTTATGGGGATGCTGACTTCATTTTCCAGCAGGACTTGGCACCTGCCCACACTGCCAAAAGCACCAAAACCTGGTTCAATGACTGTGGGATTACTGTGCTTGATTGGCCAGCAAACTCGCCTGACTTGAACCCCGTAGAGAATCTATGGGGCATTGCCAAGAGAAAGATGAGAGACATG